AATAAATTTGCAGTCAAAGAACACAAGCATATAGGAAATTGTCATTTAACACTCAATGCACAATTGGTTATTAACTAACCAATTGATAATGGTATGTGTAACCTGTCTCCCATCAATTTTTAGGTGAACTCGTGTGTGAATGTGATTTCAGTTGGATAAAATTTTCTCTACTCTGAATGCATACAAAGAAAGCCCCACTCTTTGTGCTATTTCATAACAGTTTTCTTGGTTTATATACTCTTCAATGTGATGCAGTGACCACTTCTCACAGGTGCAGACTGTGTAGTTTATTACATAAAATATGTGGGAATGAGAAATATGCATCACATTTAAATGAAATGAATTATTAAAAACAAACTAAAAATATACATACTTTAATAATGCTAATATTATCAACCTAAAGTAATATAACCAGCCTCAGAGAAGTAAGTGGAAAGTGTTATCCTCTTTAGATATCCAGTTTCTGAAATACACTTAAGGGTGGGAGGAGAGGTTATCTTAATTGACAATAGATCAAGATAAACTTTTATATAATCAGACATTTCTAAATATGACTGTTATTTATGATGTTAGGTCAAGAACAACATATAGGAACAAAGGCACCCCCGCGAGAGTTAATATTAGAGAATGCTGTAATGCCACCTGATCCTGGTGTAGTTCGAGTTCAGGTAAGTGCTTACCTATTATAAGTGTTAAATATTTTTACTATAATTATTACTATTTCAGAGTTGCACTGGATAAATCATGTTATTAGTGCTAGTACAGTAAGTGAAACCAGACTTTGGTGACAGGGAAGGTTATACAGGCTTATGTGGTCATTGTATAGTAAAGTCCCTATGTACATTCCAGAAGAAACCAAGCCAAGTACTCATATTTTCTTTTTAACAAATAAGGAGCTGTCCATGATATTGTGTTACTTTCAAGTTTACCGTATTACCCTTGGTTATTACAGACTCCACCTCGTGTCATTACACTTGATGAGCATTACTTTCCATCAGCTGATGACTTCCTTAACCATGCAGAACTTCTAGAAGAACATGTAATCACAGCAGTAACTGAACCCAAGTCTCAGTATCATATTGAACAAAGAATGACAGTTAGGTAAGGAAATAGGATGGCTGTATGTTAAAGTTACAGTATTATTCAAATCCAAATTTTGATTCTCCAATTTCATTTACTAAATTCCAGGATTTCTAGTACTTTATATTTCCTGACACACTTAAAGACATGATTAACTGTCTGTAGCAGGTTACCTATACTGAAAAAAAAAACCTGTTTACCTTAAATTTGTTGTAGCTACATTTAGGTTAAGTAAATGTTCAGTGTATATTTAAAAGTACTAGATGTATAAAAACATTTGGATGATGCATTTGTGATATGCAGAAAATAAATCTCAAGATAGAAGTAAAACTAGATTCCCATAATAATTTTGAAAACATATGATTACATCTGATAAACATGCTGAATAGTTCATAGGAAAAGATTAAATTAAAATAATTTAACAGAATGTAATGACTTTCTCAGGGAGTCGACCCCTCCAATTGGCACAGGTGAAGGTTTAACTCCGAGCGAAGAACTTGTTCATTTGCGTCGGCAGATGGCCAAGCTGAATAGGCGAGTCATGGCTGTTGAATTTGACAATTTGCAAAGGCAGCAGCGAGAGAAGATTATTTATGCCATTGGACTTACTTATTTGTTGTTCAAGGCTGTTTTCTGGCTTGCTAGGTCTTCATAGTGAAGTTAATAAACTTAAAAAATATCTTTGCAGAGTTCTGGTCATTGTTGGAAATTACATAGTTTTCTGAGATGTGTCTTTAATTCACACATGGAAAAAATTTGGGCAAAATGTTTATTAAAGGAGATATATTTGTATAAGTTTCAAAACTGGCTGAAGGTAATAATAATGTTGCAATATTTCTGTTTTGGATGTAAAAAGAAACGTATGTTACCTTCAGGACTGCTGTTATATTATTATAATACACTGTACTTGTTCTCAGTAACTGTAAAGGAATTAATAATAAATTGTTGCAGTTTCCTTTGAAAGCGTGGAGTTGTCAGAATAGTACTTGTCTTTTACATGACAGAAACTAATTGTGAATAAACATCCCATGACTTTCAAGTTTTCATGAAATTGCTTTTCTCTAAAGCTGTGTTTGTACACACAATATCAAGATATCTGAGGTTCTCATAGTGATTGTCTTCAAAGTTGTGATGCAATGTAGCAACCAACATTCTGAAGGAACATGTCACGTCCTTCTTCAGGATGCAAGATTACATGGTATCATAGCTTAAAAGATCACAATTTACTCATCAAATCTTGAATATATATAATTATTTTAATTGAAGTCAAGAAGAATGAGATGGGTGGGGCATGAGGTGTGCATCAGGTATTGGTCACGAAGCCTGAAGGGAAGACTGCTGGGGAGACCTAGACATAGATGGGAGGATAATATCAGGTGAGATCTAAGGGAGATAGGAGTTGAAGGAGACTGGATTTTGTTAGCCCAAGACAGGGACCGGTTGAGAGCTTTGGTTAATTTTGTGATGAACCTTTGGGTTCTGTAAGCCATCTAGTTAATACTTGACTTTGAACTTGTACTTAATCTTCATGTAAAATATGTTTCAAAATAAAGCAACTTACTTATTTTTCAGGCCTTCATGAAAATAAAGGACTCATTTCAATTATATATGGCTATGTAGTAGTACTATCTAAACAAGTTTTCTCTTACATACTTTTTAAAACAGTAGTGCCAAATATCTATCTATAGTATATACATATCTAAATAGGATCTCTTGAGCACAGCCTGTTTTACACTGCTCAAATTAAAAACAAATTTAAAATATGCCCCCCCACCCATGTCTTGAATATAACTATCACAACTGTTTGGTTTCACTGGTTTTATATGCCCATAAAAGCAACTTGGCATGTTCACAGGAAGTCCACCATTGGTCCATATACTGAGCCCGATTAATCCAGTCCACAGACATCAACTCTTATTTATGATCAATTTTAATATCTTTCTATCTACACCAAAGTTCTCCAAGTAGTCCCTTTCCACCAGAATGTTATATGTATTTTTCATCTCACCCCATGAATATATTAAAGATTTTGAGAAAAGCATGCACAAGAAGAACAAAAGATGGCATTTGAGAGGGCAAATCAGATACATCCAAATTTATATTATTTTATAATCCAAGATTCTAATATCTACTGGTAGTGAGGCACATAGCATAATAATATTGTGTGTGTTGACTTTCACCCAGAGATGTAACTTTGCTCTGAATGCTTTTATGAAGTTGAGCAAACACAAGTAGATGACTTGATGTATTTGCATAAAAATTAGTGCTTGAGAGAGATTACAGTTTTCTACTCAAATAATGAAGTGATGCTTGTGTTTGTTTTGCTTTTCATTTCATGTGCAGTCAGGTAGATGGGCAGAAATTAGAGAAGGTAAACTAAAGGATTCAGAATCTAATATTTTATTTCAAGTGTGTCATTTGTGACACTCCAAAGACTTCAAATATAAGGTATTTAGTGCATTAGCAATAAAGAATATTCTTACATAGCAGATCCAGTACACTGTCCAGAAGATTGGGCATGCTAATGTAGACGTGAGAGGTCCACTCCCAGCTACCATTCAACTAGCTCGTATTCCTCAGTGAGCCATAGGTTCCACATCTCTGCATTTAGCATGCTGTAGTTCTCTTCTAATTTCTGAAGTAATAGCAGGATGTGACTGATGTTTCATAAGCTCTAACAAGGCTTCTCGTTGTTCTGAGCTAACATCACCTTTGTAATGCTGCACAAATGCCAGTAAACTCTGATGCCAGAGAACAGGCAATTCACGACTATCACGCTGAAACCTGGGGGGAAGAAAGAAAAAACACTACCTTTAAATTACAAGCTTTAAACTGATAGCACCTGCATCAAATATAACACAAAGCATGTAGTAGTTATACAGGACAATGTGATCTGGATTATAATAGTATGTCTCCATGTTTCATTTCCAGAAGTAAAGTAAAGTTTGTCCCGCTATGTGCCGTACAGGCGCTTGGGGTGAGTGGAGGTATAGCTCCTCTCTTTCCTGACCTCGGCACTAGATGGGGGTGAGTGGTCAGCATCACGTGCCGGCCGACTTTACCCCTGGGAAAGGACCCCGGTACCCATTGTAGAGGAGGCTGGGTGGGCCCCAGAGCTGGTCTGGATGCAGAGGCTAGAGGAAAAATCCTCTGCCCCCCATCAGGGACCGAACCCTGGCCGTCCAGTCTGTAGCTAGTCACTATATTGACCGAGCTATCCCGGCTCATTCATTTCCAGAAGTACTCAATGGTTATATGAATAATTTTCAGATGATTTTCATTCGTGTTTATACTGATACACTACAACCAATCTTTTTATGTAAATTTATGAAAATGGTTCATAAAAAAACATACACAGAATACATCTGAATGGAGAACACCTTGCAATAGCTGTTTTTTATTTACTTGCTGTAGAATTTACATGTGTTAACATACCTCAGGAAATGAAATACAGCAGCATCCACAACTCTATATGGCAGAGCATATTTCTTGTCAAAGAAGATGCGTAAGAATATAGAGTTAGCACCTGTGTAGTCCATCTCAGCAATTTTCAATATGGCTGCTGATGAATGAAGTAATGGAATAGAATTCCGAGCGATAACAGAACCAATAATGATAGCTTCCCGTAACGTGCAGGTTCCACTCTGTGAAAACGTGTCTTACATTTTACTATAGCTGCTGACAAACCACAGCACACAGCACTTTCATCTCCTAAATGCAGATACATGAGCAACTGATTAATCTACCTACCAAATAACAAAATTACAGCAAAAACTTCTGAACCAAATGAAGCAGCAATTGGTAATGACTTATGGATGAGCAATATTAATAAACTCAATATGATGACCAAGCAAGTGGAAGTCATACAGACACTTTCTTTATACTGGCATTTCTGAACATGCAATCATCACTGCACCTGAGTGAAGGAAAAGTACTTCCTGTGTTCAACTCCAAGACTGAATAACATTCTGAGGCAAGAAAGGTAAAACTCTACACATTCTAAACCCCTCAGCAATGGTGCTCTACCTGCTTTACCTTGCACCCATTTGACAGGTTCTACAACCAGTCTGGATATGGTGGCAAAGAGAAAAACCTGTACCTTGCCATAAATGAAACCCTAATTTTCCAGCCTGTATCCAGTCACCTTATTAAATGGGCTATCCCAGATCATTTGCCTGTGTCAACATAACGTTGTCTAGTGACTGTTCTCCAATATTCAGGAAAATTATCAAATTCTTACAAAAGAAATGACTTTACCTCACATAATGGTAGCAGAAAACCTTTCATAAATGCTCCAGGTTTGAAGAGAGCTTTCCTTAATGCTTGATACAAGTGGAAGTTGAGTCGTTTGTACTCTGCAATATCGTCTCTTACTCGTGGAAGAAGAACTAAGTTGAAGAATCGTTGAGCCATTCTCTCCTTAAGATTTGATGTGAATATCCGAGTTGCCTGATACATGGCAGCTGCACTCCAGCAAGTTGGATCTGACATGTAATAGTGTATAAGTAATAATAAATTTCTACATTACTTCAGAGACTAATTATTCTTTCATATTTCACTAAAATGGAAATATTCCATACCTGTTACATAGAGAATTTGTTCCCAGTTACGAAGGTTTGGAATAATTTTGAAGGCTTTTGGAAGCTTGCCGCTTCGGTATTTGGACAGAACATCCCGAACTCCCTCATACATCTGTTTAACCCTTGGATCTAAATCTTGAATCTGCAGACCTTAAATGAAAAATAAAGAATGCAATAGTCTGCATTATTTAACAAATACTTAAACTTCAGCGACTCCATTCTGCAACACAGGTTTAAACAAAGAAATTATATAGATTTGTAGGTTTTTTAATAATATTCTTTCAACTGCAAATGTTATAGAGGTATGAATAAGTGGGGGAAATAATAATGAATGGTGAGTGCAGGAATTTTAAAGACAGTAGATGTAATGTATCTGAAGGTACTGTCTGTGTCTGAAGTGTATTTGTGAAGGTATCTTAGAATTCACCTGGATGGGTCAAGAAAAACAAAATCTCAGTCTAGATATCATTAACTCAGTCAAAATTCAACCCTTCTGAATATGTATTACCAGTTTGCCAACTTCATACTGACACTATGGACTTATGATGCTAACACAGCTATATTCATCTGAATGGACCAACAAATATTCTGTAGTAGAAACAGAATATGAAGAAATACTCACTTCCAGCATCTGAGAATTGAGTCTGCAGTTCTGTCTGTTTTTCAGTGATCTTTTCAAGGATAATATCAGCAAGGGTTCGCCGTGGAGCTGGGTTATGATTCATAAACATCTCCAATGCCCTCTCATCATCCTCATGCACTTCCTGTAACAAAAGCTGCAGTAAATCATTGTGAATTATACACTTTGTAACAACCAGTTTAATATCACCATGAGTCAAAGCTCCACTACACATATAGGTTGTGTAACTCTATGACTGTCTGTACCATTCCTTCCCAAAACTGTGTTGTCTTCAAAACTGCAATACATTTTAAAATACATGTCCTGATCTTCAATTGTCATGTGACTAAGAGAGGTTATGAAAAAGTAGAAACATCCAAGTAAACAATAAAAGCAGTTTCATCACAGAGTGTATATTCAGTTCTTACAATGTTTTCATAGCAGCCTCCATCCATGTCATCTTGAAGTTCTGCATCATCACCAGAATCATCAGATGCATCTCCAAGCTTAGTAACTTTTATTTTTGATGTGCAGGGTGAGACTCCAGTATTATCCTCAATCTCCTGTTGTTGTCGGCGAGCTTCATGCAGGATCCGCTTAGACAAATGAGCATCCACAAACTGAAACACACAAACACAAATATAACTCTATAAGCCACAGAACCACAATTAGTGCAGGTGTATGTAACACTACATGCATTTTAGCTACTCATACTGATGATGGGTTAGGTTATCAGTCAGTAACACGTCTTAACACTATTTGCACTAAGTAGGACTTCAGGTCTGTTGTGACAATAGCAATCTCAAGGACAAACATTTGTTGTAGCATGCCTACATTCCCCTCTTGAGTGAAAATGCCAATGACATTTTGTTAAATGACACGGTTAATACATGGCTCTACGATAGGAACAATATTTAAATGAAGATGTCTGTCTTCTGGGATGCTGCACCATGTGTCAAGGTCCCTGAAAATGGTGGCAGTAATCTCCTCTGAAATGGCAGTCATTTTCTACTAAGTTACAATGTGAAACACCCATGCTCTCTGCTGTCAGAACCTCAAGTCTGAATGGCCAAGCGAGGTGACCTTTCAGACGAATACTTTCACAACACAATGTAATTATTTATTCAAACTTTTTCCACCCATGCAAGACACCTTCATGACCAACAGGTTAAAAACCAGCAATCTAGGAGAGGTATGCAGTTTGCAAAATGATCACGTCGTTTCTGTGGAAGACAAAGATTCGAATACGAAGTGAGGGCATCTGACGTAAGAATGTTTTCTTGAACTATTTATCACATGTTAGGAAATCAACTGGACACCTCGAAATTAAGTACGGTTAATTTAATTTAGGACAAAATTCATTAACCTTCACACTATACCATAAACAAGTTATAATTACCTCTTCGTCCTCGTCTTTCCGCGCCCTAAGTTTAACGCGACTAGAAGCTTTGGCGAACTGATCATCTTCAATCTGCTTATCCAATGGCACTTTCGGTCCACGTCTGTTTACTTTTAATTTTCTTGCCTTCCCCATATTCACTGTGTATTCTAAACAGCAGAATACAGTATTAAACCTCAGAATTCATAGAAATGTTACATTATAATGTATTTACGACTAAAACACTCTCTAAAATAAATGCATGTAACCGACACAACATTTTTAGCACCCATGTGCATAAGTCACCAACTTGCCTGCAATGAGGCCAACTATAAAAATCAAATGTCGCTTAATTTATTAAAACATAATTTCCCCGTTGTGTACGAACATTATTATTATTATTATTACAACAAGCATAGTTTAAGATATCTTATTATAAACAAGGGAAGGAAAGAACTTATTGTATAGAAATTAATTAATTACATAATAATAATAATATTTTGAGGTAATCCTATTAGAAACATGGGAATCAAATATGTGCATTGCATAAAAATTGGTACATAATATAATTCTTCCTCCTTGATTGTAATTTATGGCAGTAGTATGAAAACCAAGCCTTTTCATCCCTGTCTTTCCACAGCTGATACTATTTCCTACTTTCTTCTTTGTGTCATCTTTCCCAATCTACTCTTCCCATCTTTGTCTCCCTCTTGGGTTTTCCCTTTAGTTTTTTGGTCAAACCCTTCTTTAAGATTATCTCCTTGTTCTAAAACTGCTCAATGTCACCATCCTTTCCTTAACCTTATATTATTGATTTTGGGGATTAGGCATGGAGTATTTTGTGATAGGAACAGATGCAGCAATCCTTCAACTAGAATAAACAGCAGAATATCAGTACACCCAGGGCTGACATAAAGTGTGAATGTTATGTGGAGATATATTTACAATCAGAATGGATAACTGGTTTTTAAAGGAGTCTGGAGGATATAACTGGTTTAGAGGATGTCCTAATAAAGTGATAAAGAATATACATACAACTGTCTTGTGGCAATACACATCTTATTTACACATACAAGTCTTACAGAAATGACTAATATTAATATGGGTACATATATATATGTGCAAGTATATTTATTTAACTCAAGAAATGTTGTACAAGAATTGTGGGATTAACAATGACTGTTTATCAACTAAAATATAAATTATGTAGAGAACATAATAATAAAGCTTACATTTAATAATTCTACTTTGAACATACCCACTTTCAGGATCCGCTGACAATGTGCCCATCTTGGGTCAACCATCTACATCATCCTGAAGTAGATATACTTTATTGCACAAATGATATGCCAGTCTGTATGAAGGATGTAAATCATTTAAGAAACACTGTGAAACAGAACTGTCCAAATACTAACACATGTCACTGTGATGATGCCACTTCCAAATAATGAAGAACTACAGCTAATACTGGCCAATGGAAGCTACTGTGTGCAAAAAAGTGAACTATATTTAATGTGTGCCTGCCCATAGGTGTAAATAGCTACCCCATCCTCTTCCACCACCTTGGAGATCAGGACCACCTATAATAATGTTATAAATAGTATGAGTAAATACTCTAAATAGTAACAATAATGGGTTCTCCAAGTCATAAAACACTTCAGCAAAATCATCACGTGTCTCTTCAGACAGCACATTCAGAATCAGGCCTACCTTGCTGAATTGTTCATAAAGTGCATAAGAGACTAAAAACTGCCTACCTACTTAGATTTATAGATGCTTTTCCATACTGATAATGAGCCATTACTTGACAGGGTTTGTTTTTCTGATAAAGCATGCTTCACACATGTGAACAGTAAAGGCACAAGTCTTGTGTATATGGAAATAAAAATCCTCACAAAGTTACTGAATATGAGCATGAATATTGCCTTGTTATGTGTCATGCCAGTAATGGTGCACATATTGAGGTTTACTGGACAGACAAAAAACTTCATGAGTTCTACACTTTGAAAATGTACAACTTTTTTTCAGTACACTCAATGACAAAAGATTTTGATGTTTTAATTCACTGTTATTTAGGGCCAGGCACCTAAATAGTAAATTATTGTTCTCATCTGCAATTGCTGACAAAGTTTTGTGCATTCCAATTTTAAACAAAAAATCTGATAAAATATAAAATAAATGTGTGCAATTACATAAACATTGAAGAATACAAGCAGAATTAAAATTTACAAATTATATTTTTTAAGACAGAATTGTTTTCAAAATGACTATGAAGAAGCTGCTAATAAAAGTTTTTAATTAAACTCACCCTTAGCAATGATGTTAAGTTGGTTGGTTTCTTCAGGACTAAGTTTAAGTATCGTGTTGAGAACAGGAACTAAACGTGTCCTTTCATCACCACCTTGGAGTGTGACAAACTGTATGCAGAAACAGAAATGTTTAAAGTCACATCATAATTAACATAGTTTACTCACACTGTTCTATCACTGTATGTGGTGAGATAATTTTTTTTAGATAGGCTGTAAGAAGACACTACCATAGTAAAGGGTTCCTTTGATGATGACAAAAACAATTTAACAAATAAATTGCAGTTAACTTCAGAGACTTTTGTATTGAAACACTTTAAAGAACAGTGCATGTTCATCATGTTCTGCTTAAAACTAAGCATAAGTGTCATAAAAATCTTCAGGTTAAAAATTACTTTTGAGGGAAGAAGCAATGAGGAGTGCTCAAACAGTTGAGTGGTTTCTTAAGTTCTAATAGTCAAATGACCTCTGTTGAAGATGCATTACTGTTAAAATTTATGGTTTGTGTATCAGGAGTTCTTCACAGTATTTATGGGTAGACGACTGGCAAAGTTCCTGAAAAATGGAACACTAGAAACTTCTTCTCTATCACAATAATGTTCATGCTCATTTTTCTTCACACATGCAGAAATTTACGATCAGAAACTTTATGACTGTTGCCTCCCAACCTCCATACTTCCCACATCTAGTTCACTTCATAAGACTCCTGATACTTGTTCTTCAGTATGAAACAAGAAAACATAAAGCTATAGGAAGACTGTTATGGCTTTGGAATAGACTTGAGAATTATCCATGGAAAGAAGAGAAAGAAATATAAATTCTGGTGATGTTAAATCTGTGGGTTCTAACATGAGTATTAGTATCCTGAAAGGAACATGATTGCAGTATTTTAATTCTCTTCCAAAGTTTTTCAAATATGCCCACCTTTAGTATAACATTTTTGAGATACTCAAAATTCTGTGCATGCTGCTCTCTTTCAACACTCCTCTGCTGCCGACGGATCTCTTCCTTTAGCACCTGATTCTGTTGGGTCAATTTAGCAAGATCTCGTTCTGCTTCACTCAGTAGTCCTGTTAAATGTCGAATGCGGCATTCCGATACAACCAACTGTTCTTTTATTTGACCCAGCTCTGCACCTGGAGAAATATTAACTGTTGGAACTGAAAGGATAAAATAAATATTTACAAAGTGTGTGTACACAAAACTCAGAGTGATAGCAAGATCTCGTTCTGCTTCACTCAGTAGTCCTGTTAAATGTCGAATGCGGCATTCCGATACAACCAACTGTTCTTTTATTTGACCCAGCTCTGCACCTGGAGAAATATTAACTGTTGGAACTGAAAGGATAAAATAAATATTTACAAAGTGTGTGTACACAAAACTCAGAGTGAAATACGACAGCATCATGTTAGAACTGCCTCAAAATGCTGACAGTGAATAGAAAGTGTGTGTACTTCAGTCATTAAAATTTTATGCTCAGTTTGATTCTAAGCCCCTTCCATAACCCTACTTAAATTCTAAGTAACTAAGTAACTGTGAAAAGAACCAAAGCATCAATGATGCTGTTCTGAAATTGGACCAGTAGTTAAAATATATATCACATGCTGATTTACTAGTCTTGCCAGTAAGAATATTTTGAAAGTTCATAGCTAACAAGTATTCATTAGTCTATCTAAATGTTATGACTTACCACTGTTATCATCATCAGATTGAGATGACAACAGTTTGTCCAGGGGAATCAATTCTGTTCTGTGCTCCTGTGATGCTGACAGATGTGGAGAAGCAGAGTCTATACTCTCTGAACCCTGTAAAAGTAACAGATGCTATGCTGAATGAAAAGACATTATCAGTCACACTTTGATGAAGCCAAAATTTCTATTCTAAAGCCAGAAAACTATAAATCACTAGACAATGATTTAATTCAGAACAAATTAATCCAAACCAGAGGAAACAACATGAAATCCATAAAATCTTTCTTCATATTTAGAGTAAAGGACAATTACCACACAACATAACTCTTATTGTAGACATCTGCTTACTAAAAAGAGACAAAAATTACTGCATTACTGATGCAGCACAAATTGCATGCAAACATTTTCCCGTTCATCAGACATGAAGATTAAATTACAGTAGATCATCAGTTTTAATTTTTACACAACACATTATCCAAGAATAAAATGTTATGTAATTGACAGACAGTTGAGAGAAAACAGGACTACAATGGAGCAGTACTTTTTTTTGTAGACAGTAAGAAGGCCATGACCCAGCTTAGGACATATTATTGGAAAATATTCAAAATGAGTTAATTAATATGTGTATAAAGAAAGCCAGTGGCAAAATTTATGTAGGTAAGCACAGGGCTGAAGATT